CTTCTCCCTCCTCCTCCTTCTCCCTCCTCTCCTGATGTCTGATCTCTGTTCGAAACCCACCTTTAAGGCTTGGTGTGCAACAGTGGGGTAACGGTCAGGAAGCAGCCGTGCGTGGCCTGCCTCCATGCTCGGACTCCTCCACGGAATGGGAGTGATACCTCGGTGGACGCGATGCCACCCAGTGAGTTCCACAGCCATGAGGAGGCTGAGTGGAAGCTCCAGAACACATGAAATCGTGCCCAGGAGTCGGCTAGCATGTTAGCACTGATGTAACAAAATGCCTCAGAGAGGAGGAGCCGAAGTCGCCTCTCAAGGTGCTTCCAGGCCTGACTTCTCCTGAGCCCTGCTCCTGAGCTGCCCCCATGCACACAGCATGCCTGGGCCTGGTCTCCTTGGGCAGGGATACACGTGGCCTGAGAGAGGGCCGCCCCACGTGGTCTCGTTCAGCCTTCACTTTCTCTGTAAGGCCCTGTTTCTGAACAGCCACATTCTTTTTTAAAATTTTTTTTTATTTTTTCAAACAGCCACATTCTGATGTACACTGGAAATTTAAGACTTCAACCGAAGAATTTGGGGGAGCACAGTTCAGTTTATAACAGTGGGGTTCTCATCAGCAAAACAGGCAGTGTACTGCATACCCCAGGAACAATTGTGGATCAGTTTAATGAGAAGACACACCAGGAAAGAGAGGGAGGGAGCAGACTGATCCTGCCGACTGATGGCAGTGGGTGAGGGGCAGGAGGTGGGAAAATGAAAAGCACATCTTAGCAGGAGAAAGGAAGGACAATCAGGAAGGTGTGCTGGCTCGGCCGACCTTCTGGGCCTCCCTGCCACGGGCTGAGGCTGCTGTCCGTGGGTGTCGCCAGCTGCTGTGGCCTGCTGCGCAGCTCTCTTGGGAGGGGAGGCGGTGGTGGGCGGGGCGTGGTGGGGAGGCTGCTCTGGGGCTGTCCTCTCTATCTCAGATACGCTCACATTCCCTTCGGTTTGCAAATAGCTATGCCAAATGCACAGATACCAATTTTTTGCTTCTTGAGGGTTGCACCTTGTGCACCCCATGTTACGAGAGCGAAGTACACACTTGCTAATTACGTGCTTGAGCACTAGGGGTTGTCCTCTCTGTGGATCAATATTCCAGTTAGTTTATATGTTTAGACATTATTTATTAAGTATTAGACATTCATGTTTTGATGCTGTGGAGAGTCTGGAGTCTTCCCTCAAAGAGCCTTTAGTTTTGGTTTCACAGGCAGTTGCTCTTAGTTTGTTAAGTGCAGCTGTGATGGGGCTGGCTCTCTTAGGGTTGTCACCTGAGTGTTCACCGTTTCCGGTTGAGGTCTTTACTCTGCCAGCTAGGAGTGCTCTGCGTCCTGTACCCGTGGAACATCTGGATTTCTATTCAGGTTGCGGCTTCTGGCTTCGCGGTAAGCTATTTTCTGCCAGGCCTTAGCAGAGTTGAGCTCTGAGCATGCGCAGTTTAGTATTTACCCAATAATCTACCCTCTCGGGGCTCATTTTTTGCACAGTTATCTCTTCTTTAGTACTCTGCCTCATAAATTCCAACTATTTTAATGGCAGCAGACTGTAATTTCTGCCTTCTCAGTTGAATGGAGGCATTGTGCTCTGCTGGACCTGGCCTTCCTGCCTGTGTGGAGGGCCAGAGAGAGCCGCAGGTGGAAAGACTCGGTCGCCCTGGGGCTCATCGCCTGCGTTTCCCCTCTCAGGAAGCACGGTCCTGCCCACTCTGGGCCAGGGCTGGAACCAGTCATTTCTTTTTGAGAGACTGACAGTATCTTCAGCATGGGTGCTATAGAAAATTCGGTTCAGTTTCTTACAGGTTGTCTGTCTCTTGCAGAGGTCAGTTTTAAATCTTCATACCAGCTCGCTGTTCTAAAGAAGTTAGGCGTGCACCTATCCATAAGCAACATAGAAAAGATAAATCACATGAGCTTGCAACATTAATGTAAACCACTCTATAAAAACCCCATCTGGAGAAAGAGAAGCATGTTAAAATCACTTGGGTAGAGCCGAGTGCTCTGAGAATGGTTCTATTAAGAAAGTTTTTCTTAGCTTTGATGTCCTTGGGTAACAAAATCAACATTCTTCTGTACTTAATGAAAATAAGTTTGGAAAAAGCAACAGGTGTTTTGGTAATAAAAAAAACTACTTTGGGCTTAACTCATGAATGTGCCCTATTTTCTTTATTATAATTACTGAAACAAGAGATTTTGAAATTAATCTGTTGCTTAACTGACTTGGAAAAGGGAATGTAGGAAGTAGGTGGTAGGAATTTACTGATCTTTGGGCCTATTATATCTAGTGTAGTTAATTACCTAGAGTTAATAGTTTAATTAATTGTCCCAAACATAGATCGGAAATATGTAGCTACTAGAAAATAGGAATTTAACTTTTATTGTTATCAGAGAAATGACACATAATATAGATAAAAGAACTGAGGTGGAATTAGGTAAAAATTATTTTGAATAATTATGTAAAGGATTTTTTAGGGGGCTGAAAATTCCTTGGTGTTAAAATATGCCAATAAAAATATCCAGTTGATATCTTACTAGATGAATAATTGTTTACATAATGGCATGGTAATGGATAGAGAAGGAATTGCATGAAGACAGTTGAGTATATTTCGTTTGGTCAGGAGACAAGAATACAGGTTTTCAAGAAGGTCCAGTCAAGCTGTCCCGGCCTCTCCCCCCGTTTCTCTCTCCTCATCGCTGTTCTCTGTATTTCTCTCCCCCGCTTCCCTCAGCAGTGATCACATGATCTATAAATGGATTATTGTCTATTAATTACTCATTCCTCAAGGAAAGAACTCCACTGTTCTTTCACTCTCCTCTACTGTAGGTCTGTCTCTGTCTGAATCTGAGTAGTGGCACAAATGCAGACGTTTTCTCCCATATGTCCCAGCTGTGTTATGATAACCTCCCAGTGTTACTGTGGAGCTGGACTAAGATATCTGGTAACGATTATTTACAAATAATGTACTCCTTTGTACAGCAGTGGGACATGCTTGACTGGGACATTTAAGTGCTGACTCCATTTTAGCATATTAGGCTTTGAATTCAGTTTTGGCCTTATAAAGTGAATTATAGACTTAATTTTTAGAAGTCATGTTTGAGGATAAACAAATCAAACTTTATTGTTTCTTTTTTAAAATCTGTATTTCATTACCACAGGTTTGCTGTCTTTCAGATTCTATTTATAAATTGTCAATGCTTTCTTGGTTTAATTTTCACTTACGAATAATTTTCAGGCAGAAAATATATACCAAATGTCATGATAAGCCATTTATTTAAATGGCAGCTTATTATGGAAACATAAATACCAACAGTGTTAGCATGGCTGAAGCTTCTGTTCCATTGGACTTTCTTATCTTTTTAAAATCTATCTTATTCAAAATGGCAGTGCTCAGAATTTACTAGCTCTCCTTCAAGTAGCAGGGTTTTTTTGTTTTAGTTTTTAACTAATATTAAGGTAAATGCGTTTTGTATAAGATCTCATTTTTTGAATTTCAGAAATAGTAATGTGGATAACATGACTTTTTCTATATGTCTGTACCTCCTGTTTCAAGCTTAAAATATCATACAAGATTGAAATTTGATCTTCCCATTCGTTTATGAATCATAGGAGACTGATGTCGTATATATGTTAACCTTCTTTGACTGTGTATGCTCAGGTAAATACAGATTTTCTTTTTTTTTTTTTTTCCCTTTTTTTTTTTTTTTTTTGGTGCTGGGGAACACACTCAGGACTTTGCACTTGCCAGGCAGGTGTTTATGCCACTGAGCTATATCCATGGCCTAAACAACAGATTTTATGAAGGAAAAGGAAAGTGCAGTTTTCCCTAGCTGGGCTGATTGCTCGCCATCCCAGTTACCTAGTGTTTGTCCACACAGCAGGAGATTTAATCAAGCCTGACTAGAGTTATACCAGTTATAAAAATTTAGGAATCATTCTGAAGAACTTAGGAATTAGGGCTATTGGAAAGGAGATAGGAAGCCCTGTTACCTATCTATTATTTTGGCCTTTATATTTTGGGTTTCTGATATTTAAGCTCTTGTGTCTGATTGATTTCCCTTAATATTATCGTCTCCATTTTCCAACAGTGACTCAAGTTTGTTCTTCCATTGCGTGAAGACACCACATTATCTTTACCCATTCATCTGTGGTTGAACATGTGGGCTGCTTCCCAAATTCATCTCTTACGAATTGTGGCGCTGTCAGCACGGGTTTGCGTGGAGCACTGTACTATTACCTCAGTGGGGAAAGATAGCTAGAAAAGAGGCACAGCTGGGTCAATAGAGTGTCTAGTTTTAGTTTTAGTTTACTTTTTTTTGTTTTTAATTTCAGGAATCCCATAATGATTTTGATGGTATTTGTACTAGTGTACATTCCTATCAGTAATATAGAAGGTTCTTTTTTCTCTACATCCTCACCAGTGTTCTTTATTATTTGATTTCTTTATGGTGGCCATTCTATCTGGGTAAGATGGAATCTCAGTGTTACTTTAATTTGCATTTCTCTAATTGCCAGTGATGTTTAACATTTCTTCACATAATTTTTGGCTTTTTGTACCATAATTTTTGGAGAAATGTATATAGTCATTGCCTTTTTTTTTTAATGTGTTTATTGTTGTAGGGTCTCATTGCACAGCTCGGACTCATGGTGATCTTCCTGCTTTCAGCCTTCCCAGCTTTGGGATTACAGGTGTGCGCCACCACACCAGGACTCTGGCCAGCTCAGCTCACCCTAGGGGACGGGGCCAGGCTGGCATGTGGTGCAGGGGATCGAACCTGCCTAAGCAGGTGCTTAGTCGCTTAGTCTGCTCAGCTGTCTTGCTTCCCCCTCCCTTTTTGTGCCTTTGATTTTGGAGGTCTTGTGTTTATTCTTGATATTGGTCCTCACTGAGGAAGACTTGGCAAAAGAATTTTCCCATCCTTTAGATTTTCTGTTAACTCTCTTGATTGTTTCTTTTGCATGCGTGAGATCTTTCATTTGAAATGATCGCATTTGTTGATTTTTGGTACAATTGCTGTGCAACTGAAATTCTATTCAGAAAGTCCTTGCCCAGATCTGTTTCTTCAAGAACTTTCCATATTTTATATTTTAGTAGATTATATTTCTGTTTTAACATTTGTATCTTTCATATATTTTGATTTTTATTTACTACAC